GTGTGTGTGTGTATATATATATATGTATATATATAGATGTATGTATATATATAGGTATATATATATATATAAGTGTGTGTGTGTGTGTGTGTGTATGTGTGTGTGAGTGTAGGTGAGTTTGTGTATTTTATATATATTGTATTAACTCATGCTTCGTTTGTCCTGAGCGCATGTCCCATCAATGATACGAAGCTTCCCAATTCCGCTCGCCTCAATACCATTGTTTGTTTCATCACTTTTTAAGTATTCCGTCACTCACACATTTTCTGGCGCTGATACAAATATATGTACATAGTATACGCTGGCCGTAGCCTACTGCTGGGTGTAGTGGAGCATCCCATTCATCTAACGCTGAAAGCAGGAGCCGAGAAGAAGCAAACGGGTGATTCAATCGGCACCAGTAGACCTATCTGGAACGAACAGTTGGATCTGTATGTGTGCATTCGAACATTTGGATATGTATGTGAACAATCCAAACAGTGTGATATGTATGTGTACAATCCAAACAGATAGATAAGTATGTGTACAATTGAACAGTTAGATATGTATGTGTGCATTCCAATATTTGGATATGTATGTGTACAATCCAATCAGTGTGATATGTATGTGTACAATCGAACAGTTAAATATGTATGTGTACAATCCAAACAGTGTGATATGTATGTGTTGATTCCCACCCAGGTTGTTGTCTGGTTCTGAGCTTGCCCTTGACTGTGAGTCGCTTCGTGGGATCTGCGTGTGTTTTGTAGATCTAAGGGATCTGCATGTGTTTTTGTAGATCTATGGGATCTGCATATGTCTTCGTAGATCTATGTATTTGCTTGTGTTTTTGTAGATCTATGGGATCTGTCTGTGTTTTTGCAGATCTAGATGCATTTCCGCCTGTCCATCGCCAGTCATACGTTCGTAAGGCCTGAGCGTCGCACAACCAGGCAGTTCAGAGAGCCGAACCCTCATCACTTGTCCCGTGCGTTTGTTCGCCGAGTGTATTGTATCCGTCTGTGGTGTGTGTATGCACAATCTCTGCCAGGCATTTGCAACCTGTCTGTCTATTCTGATCCGCCGTGCTATAGCCATGCTCAACCAGTACCATCTGTGTGGAACTTCAGTGACCAACGGGTGTGCGTGTTCGTGGGTGTGACTTGTGCGATCGAATACCTCGTACTATTCACACTGTTATACTCTCAACTACCAGTTGTTCACAGACTGTCTCGTCTCTGTAGAGTCAGTGTTCCGATGTATTGTAGCTGTCAACCGATGCTATGTCTGTGTAGATGTGTTTGCACTACTTGCCAACGCCTGCTTGCATATCGACATGCATCTACGAAGCGTGCACTCTGTATACCACAAGGCCCATTAAAAGGCGTGTTCAGTCACTGTCTTTCCACACGTGGCGTAGGTCTCCTGCCTCGCAATCCAACGACCTGCTCTTGTGTTGTCTTTTGAATGGCATGTACGTTTATTTCTGTGATTAACGATACACTTGGCGATCGCGCGATAATTGTTTTGGGTTTGGCTTTCTTTTTCCTTTCTGTCTTGTCTATGGCGTATGGTTGTAGAGATAAGCGATATAAAAAAATTGTCTTTTCTTTTTTCTTTCCTTTCTTGTCTATGACGTATGGCTGTAGAGATAAACTTACTGTCGCCCACTCTCCGCGGCCTGCTCAGTCGTCCTCGTTTACATCCGGGGGCCTTGGGGAAAGGAGTTGTTGTTCGGAATACAGCAGGCACATCTCTCTGCATCTGTCATGTCTTGACCGTAAAACCTCACTCCAAAAATCCTAAACCCTAAACCCTCACACGCCATACTACAACAGCAACATCAAGAAGAAAAAGCACAATGAGCTGAAGATAAAGCTCATGGTGCGGACGGTCGCGCTGGGGGCCCTCCGCATCGGAATCGACACGCTGCCCTTTGAAGAAGGAGGTGTGTGAGACTGACCTTTCTGCAGTGATTACTTTATGTATGTCACTTGGTGTGTGTGACTGACCTTTATGCAGTGATTGCTTTATGTATGTCACTTGGTGTGTGTGACTGAACTTTATGCAGTGATTGCTTTATGTATGTCACTTGGTGTGTGTGACTGAATTTTATGCAGTGATTGCTTTATGTATGTCACTTGGTGTGTGTGACTGACCTTTATGCAGTGATTGCTTTATGTATGTCACTTGGTGTGTGTGACTGACTTTTATGCAGTGATTGCTTTATGTATGTCACTTGGTGTGTGTGACTGACCTTTATGCGGTGATTGCTTTATATACATTACTTGGTGTGTGTGACTGACCGTTATGCGGTGGTTGCTTTACATACATCACTTGGTGTGTGTATGGTGTAGCAGGTTGACTTTGGGCGTTGTCCTGTGCGTCTCACATGTTGGGTGAGTTATAGATGCTTTGTTGTTCCTATCACTGCGCATGTACAGCGACGGCATGTGTGAACATCTGAGTTATTGGGGTACATTGTTTTTGGGATCTATTGCATGCACAAGGAATGTATAGTAATAGCATTAATTATAGGGAGTGCATATGCGAATGGTATTGAACATAAGACGAGAAGAATTGGGGGGAGAGGTTGGAGTAGAATAAAGTTCGATTTTTGTGGAGAGTTCCTTATGCTTTACAAATATATGCATGCTTGCTCATGTGTGTTTACGGATATATATATGCTTGCCCATGTATGGTTACACATATATATGTGTATAGATAT